TTATTATATATATATATTATAGCCATTAGGTACCTATCATTTATTGGTATGAATTACGAATTAATCGAATTATTAACCAAAATTATAGAAATTATAAATAAACGCCTGTATATTATATAGGTACCTACCTAATTATTTGAGGACAACAATGAACAAACAATATTTGTCTAGTTACTAGCATTGATTAAATATACTTAAATATATTTATTGATCGTGCTACTAGACACTATACTAAAATACTCAAATGTCTAAACCAACCCTGTGAACATTGTAAATAAAATAACTTAAGAGTTATATTGCTATTAATTATTATACATCGTATATCAGTAGCGCATGTAGACACAGTAGGTACTTATTATTGGTTTGAATATTTGCGTGTAGTAACCATATAAGTATATTGATCCGTTTTATTCTGAGTTCCTAATGTTGACCAACAGTCTCGTATAATTGGCTTAAAACTCCAAAAATGTTGGTCATGTGATATGTACATAAGTCATAAATACATAATTGACTTATTGTTAAGACGCATAGGTACTATATTACAATACAGAAGTTATTATTCCATATTTTCTAAGCTAGATAGCATAAGTGCAAATGGGGGAAAAGGGCCAAGTCCAACAAAAATGTTAGTAACCCAAATATTCTCTATTTTTTTAAGCTTAGGTATTTAATATTTTTACAAAAGAGGGAAGTMCTCTCACATTTCAAACGTTATTTTCTTAAATAAGCCAAGTATAATATATCAATTGCGCTGAAAATCGCAGGTAAAGAAAGAAAAATTATGAGATATGAAAAATAAGGTCCCCTCAATAAGATTTCATGTTGATTTCATCGAGTTGCATAGAGCTGCTGGTATATTGTGTTATGAAGCGTTTTTGAATATACAAAAAAGTAATTACATTTATTGTTGTTATGTTGTTTATACTTTTAAAGTTTTTTTTTTTATTATTATTAATTATTAATTTATTAATTTATTTTTAATTTAATTAATTAATTAAATAAATATAATATAAAAAAATAAATTATAAATTAATAAAATAAAATAATTTATTTATAATTTATTAATTCAAATTTTTAAATTTGAAGTAAGATGTGAAACTGAAATCAAAACGAAAAACATACTAGTTATATTATGTCGTCATGAAAAGATTTACAATATCTATGGTCGGTATGCACTGAGGAACACTCAAATATTTATTCACAGCGGGTCTGATAACTGATAAAGATAATAAAATAATAGTAATAATATAATGCTCTTTTAGGACCTATTTCATATTTGAAATGTAGTAAAAAATGACGATTGTTATTTTTTTTAAGTAACATATTACTATTAGTTAAGGTACGAATTATTATTTTAAATCATTAGACGTGAATTGATAACAAAATGACCCGACCATTTGAATTGAATGGGTTTTGTAGTTAATACTATTAACTGTTTTATTTGCGCGGAAAATAAAGCAACATTCTAACGTGTGTTTGTATGAAAAGTGTTTGATATTTTTATTAATTTTTTAATAATATTTACCCAACTTAATTATGTCATTAAACGATTGGATCGTGTAATGGGCGAGCGACTTGCAATGAAGAAAATACCATCTCCGAGCCAACGCTCGAAATATTCCTTGAGGCGTCTGCCTCACGACCGTCACTGACAAAACCATGTTCATTCGTTTAGCATGTTGCCGTCTATTGAGACACAAAAAGTTGATCTACATTTCTATATTCATTTCATTTTTACTGTCCTTTGTTTACGTAGTTGTTCTGCCACATGTTTTTACACTCCTCCAGAAACCTCCTTCCAAAATTCAAGAAGTCTATCAGTATGTTATTCCAGAAGACAGTCCAATTGTTCCAACAAACTCTAGATGCACATTCTACGATTGTTTCAATATATACAGGTGTGGCCATAAGTTTGATGGTGATTTTAAAGTTTATGTTTATCCGATGGCYAGACATGTTGACAAGGATTTTATACCCATTGGAGGTAAAATTTCTAAAGAATATCATACTATATTGAGGACAATAGTAGAGAGCCAGTACTACACAACAAATCCAAAAGAAGCATGTGTTTTTGTGTCATCAATTGATACATTAAATCAAAACCGGTTTCGAGTGAAAGAAACATCACAGGCTCTTGCTTTATTACCACAGTGAGTGCGATTTATTATAACAAAACACTATAGAATAACTATCTAACCAATTTGTTTATATTATTTAGTTGGAACGATGGTCAGAACCATTTAATATTTAATATGGTGCCAGGAACAGCACCAGACTATAAATCTGTKGTTGATTTATCCATTGGTAAATCCATGGTTGCTGGTGTAGGTTTTGATTCTTGGACATATAGATCATCTTTTGATATTTCAATAGCAATTTACAGCAATTTAGCAATTTCTTTAAGTAATAACTATACTTTCAAATACAGGTAAACAATTAAATTAATTGTAATAAATGCAATTAACTATTTAGATTTCTAATATTTTGCAGGACAACATTTATTAGCACAATTCAAACAAATCTTCATAATGATTTCATTACTWCTTTAAAATCAATTGAAAAACAAAAATCAACAACACAGAATATAACGATTAGAGTTATAGAACCTTGCTCACATAATAGACACGACAGAACAATAATTTGCCATGAAAACACTACTTATAACTATGCAGACATACTTGCTGTAAGTATTGTTAATAAACACTTGTGTTTGTAATGTATGAAATAAATAAACTAATGTTGTGGTTTTTTTTTTCATTTTTATGTTATTTAATTCAGGACAGTGTCTTTTGTTTAATATTGCCTGGTCCACGGCTAATGGATATGGTTTTTATTGATGCACTGGCAGCTGGATGTATACCAATAGTAGCTATAAATCATGTTGTATTACCATTTTTTGAAGTTATAGACTGGAAAAGGTTTGTAATTTTTGTTGTACATTATTTTTAATAAAACTAAATTTTATATTTATTTGATAGAGCCGTAATTATGTGGAGTGAAACTGAACTAAATTCTATACTAGACGTAGTTTCTGGTATTCCTCTGGACMGACGGAAAGAGATGTCAGCTCAAGGCCGTTGGCTATATCAGACATATTTATCATCATTGAAAATAATTACTATGACTACACTTAAGATATTAAGTCAAAGACTGCATCCACATAGTTCAGATTTTTATGAAGATTGGAATTTAAGACCACATCCTGTATGTTGGCATTAATAATTTAATAAGTATCAGTTGTTTTTCATGTTTATTTTACTTAGGTATCTGCTAGAAATCCATTATTCTTACCATATATGTCAGATTCTTCAGGATTCACAGCAATAATATTATCRTACGATAGAATAGATAGTTTATTTACACTAATAAATTTGATCAGTAAGGCGCCAAGTCTGCAAAAGATTATTGTTGTTTGGAATAATCAGTTAAAATCTCCACCACATTGTAAGATTTAAAGTTTCAAAATTTAAATAAAAGTTATCTATTAACAGTTTATCAAATAAAGTTTCAGAGTGGCCGAAAATTGATGTATCTCTAAAGGTTGTGCAAACCACAGCAAACAAACTATCAAATCGATTTTTTCCCTATAGAGAAATTGAAACAGAAGCAGTTTTATCTTTGGATGATGATATACTTATGTTGACTTTAGATGAGATTGAATTTGGATTTCAGGTAAATAATTATTTAAAACTTCAAGAAAAATTTTAATGCCTGTTACCTTTAGGTTTGGAAAGAATTTCCTGATCACATAGTAGGTTTTCCATCTAGAACCCATGTATGGAATAACAAAACTAATACTTGGAAGTATGAATCAGAATGGAAAAATGAAATATCTATGGTATTGACTGGGGCAGCATTTTACCATAAAGTAAGAACAATTATTATTGATAAAAAAAAAATCTTTTTCAATAAACATTATTTTAAATTTTATACATTCATAAATAGTATTGGAATCAAGCCTATACATATATTATGCCTAATAATATCAAACAATGGGTAGATGATCATATGAACTGTGAAGATATTGCAATGAACTTTTTGGTGTCCAACACTACAAACAAAGCTCCAATTAAAGTAATTGTTACTTAAATTATTTTTCCTTTCAATATTTAAAAGTTTTACTTTTCAATAGGTAACTCCTAAAAAGAAATTTAAGTGTCCTCAATGTAAAAACACTGAAATGTTATCAGCTGACCAAGGACACATGGCTACAAGAACATCATGTGTGAACATGTTTGCTGCTATTTATGGTAGAATGCCATTAAAGACTGTTGAGTATAGAGTTGATCCTGTTCTGTACAGAGATGTATTTCCAACAAAATTGAAGAGGTATAACAATGTTGGAGAATTGTGATCATATTGTGCCGTATTCACTTTTGAGACTTGTGATCAAAACCTGTGACATTCTTTATTTTAAGTTTTTTTTCTCCATTACCATTTTAAAGTCAATGTGAATTATATTAAATGGTTATTATTATATATTTTATTATTAAATTCAATTGATCAGCATTAGTTATTATTGTGAATGAGTAATTGAATTTATTTAAATTATATATATTATTATGTTTAATTTTAATTTGCTAGCATTTATAGACTTATGTTACCATTGAGTTTTTATATTACTCACATTGAAACTTTTTTTTATTTAAAAGAAATAGTAGCCATCGTCTCCTTGTTAGTTGTGTCATTGGAATAATTCACTCGTTACTGTTTTGAATGTATTTGRTGTATATATTTTTTTWAATGTAATACCATTGTAAATCCTGCCTCAATTATTTAGCCATCACTAGATTGTTTTCCTATTTTATACATGTTATTTAGATAATTAATTGTTTTTTATTTGTTTTTGTAAAACTGTGTTATTTTTTAGAAGTATAAACAATTATGCATATGAATTGAACAAGAATAACTTATGTAATAAATAATATAATACATTTTTATAAAATTTCCATTCCATGTAAACCATGACAAATTTGACAGGTATCATCACAGTTTTTTAATAGCTGCTCCTGCTCAAATATTTCTTCACTTTGCCTATATTGTAGTTCTCCACTTCTAATTGGTTGACATTATCAATGTTTAGTTTCTRCAAGAAAGTTTATTTGGTTGAATAAWTTAAACGCAACACTTCTCTATACCAATAAACCGTGTAAAAATTAATAAATTAACTTCTTAATTTATTAGTAATTATATAAATACAGTATTGTATATACTATAAGTTAATTATTATTATTTAATATTATATTGAACTACACAAATGCCTAATAAATTATAAAATAAATATAAATCATAATAATTATCATGAGCATAAAAAAACTCAACCAATCAGAAGTGGAGAACTATGATATAGGCCGATGTGGAGATGTGCATACTGCGCAAAACTAGTACAACTGTGATAATACTTCTATCTAATTTGTCATAAACTGTCACAAAATCGAAAAAGTGTATTTGTACAGGTTTAAAATATTTATAATTAGGCTATTATTGTTTTAAATTTTTTTTATTATATTTAAGATTATATTGTTGAATAATTTGTAAACAAGACTAAAGATTGGCCATAAGATATTCATAAATATATTTTAGCAAACAATTTAAGTTAATATAGCTTAATCCAGAATAAATTTTTGTTTGTGTTATTTAATTGTGTACAATAATTGAATTTGTGTGTTTGTATTTATCAATATTTTCTAAAAATTATAAATAATTTCAATTATTAATTGACGATCCAGGTACAAAAAAGGAGTTTATTAAAATATTTTAACTAAACCACTCATATTAATAAAAATGAGTAAAAATAAAAATTTACTCAATTAAAAATTCATCCACTAGTCTAATGTACTAAAAGTACCTAGTCATTATCACTTGTCTTCCATACCAATTTTATTTTTAYTACTGTCAACCAATTTGTTATTAATTAACTATCATACTATCATGCAAATAACATATTTTAGTTGGATTGTTAATAAATTTATTATTTAACAACATCACTATAAAACATTAAATAAAAGTAAGTACCTAGGTCCTAGGTGGGTAGATCCTTTTTTTTCCCCTTCTTTAAACCGGAAACGGGCGGGTAGATCCTAGTTTCATTAATTAGGCATTACTTATTACATTAGGTAACTACAGCCATAGTCCATAACTTGTATTTTTTGTTACAATTGTCAGGATCTGGTTCTGTTTGGTTTTCGAAATTAACTATTAAACAATGTATGCTAATATGTATATTATGAGTGTGTGTGTGTTCCCGGTAATCTAATAATTATTCTTTTGTGTAAAAAAAACGTGCTTATTATAATCACATAATTTAAGCAGCGATAGCATTTTTTAATCGGTGTCGGTATGTGTAGGTACATAGCGGTATATATATATTTATACACAATGCATAATATTTCATAAATACTTCCGGCCTTGAATTTCATAAAGTTTGGATAAATTACTCTCGCCTTGCACTTAACAGATGAAATTGCTAAAAGATCATTTTGGATCTAATAATTAATAGTGTATTAGAAGTTATGAAAATGTTTATTGGTTGACTTTTTCTTGGCTGCCTATTAATATTAATTGGAGTAAGTAACACTGTAGTATACGTTTACTATAAATCACTTTAACTTATTGAAAGACCTATTGTATTACGCAAGTGTCACTATATAGTATCAGTGTTTAGACATATTTTATTGTTTTTGGAACTTATATGGTTATTTGAATTGAAAATTTCCGTCTATTTAATAAGTTGTTTATTTACTAGCTATAAATGAATTAAKTAGCCTTGCAGATATAATAACTACTACTGCATAGACGTGCTGCACGTCACGTGCATAAGGTTTGCGCCAGGTGGGMTCATATGGTCCATATGGATCTCCCTTTGAACCGATCTATACCTACTTATTACACACATTGCGAGACATATCGTTTAATTTTGATGATAACATAACAAATTATTACAAGTTTAAATTATAACAATTAATTATAAATACGAATTGAAAATTAAATCGATTAAGTATAAAGTTAATAATAAAGATAATAAAGATGTGTTTTGTTTTTAACATATTTTCCCATATACTTGTAATAATATCGAGTGGTTGTGGCGACTGGCGGAGTGTGAATGACCTTCTTTACATCTGAGGTACCTATAGTGTGAACCCTCAAACACACATTTAATATTATAAATTTATAAGCCGTATAAATAGGCAGTAGTCAGAAAATATTCACTAGGTAGGCCAATGTTAGGTGGGTCCCCTCCTTCCCGACATTTGTATATTATAAAATGATGGTAGTTATCAGCATATCATTACTACAAATATATACCTACCTAAGTATATAACCTAATAAGTAATGATAYCAGATACCATATTTTATCACTTTGCCAGTAAGTACCTACCTAGTAACTATAAGTATAATAAAAAAAATACGTTTAAATACATAGAGAAAAATCAAATAGGTATATAAATAATGCTTTTAAGTTTTAATAATTGTATAATGATAATAAAATCTAAATACTTAATATAGGTATATAAACACAATTTTTAAATGAAATACTATAAACATAATATAAGTATTAATTAATAAATACTAATATAAAAGTATTTTTCTATTTTTATGTTTTATGGAAAATCTATTAAAAATTTGAAAACAATTAGGAGCCATTATATAATAATGGGCCCTCCTGAATACTTTGGATGGGCCGGACACATATTAGGGGGGGGGCATCCCTTTAGCTACGTGACTGAGTCCGCAAAATAAAAATATACCAAAACGTTCGTGGTTGGTAAATTGAGTCCCAAATGACCCTAACTCGGTAAATTGAGTCCCGGGGAAAAATAGGTAGTAGGTAAGTTGAGTCCCAGAAAAAATAAGGTAGTAGGTAAGTTGAGTCTTAGAAAAAATAAGGTAGTAGGTAATTTGAGTCCCAGGGAAAAACGATTTATATGCATTTAAAATTTAAAAATATATATGCACTATAACATTTTTATTTGAGATTTGTGGACATTCATTGACTGCATGCATTTATTGCATTTTTATTAATTATATAATTATTTTATATGCAATAAAAATGCATGTTGCTATTTTCAAAATCGGTTCATACCCAATTTGCCGACAAATATACCAGTTTTTAAATATTTTAAAAACATTCCCATTTCGCCGACAGTCTAGTTTGCCGACATCTTGGTTTGCCGACAATTTATAAATATAGTTTCAATTTTCCCGATTCGCCGACAGGTGACAATAATTTTTATCAAAAACGGATTTTATGACAGCGATAACACAGTATGAGTTGTCGATAAGTTCAATGAATAAATTATTTCCCACATATAAAATCCAGAGGGAATACAGATTGGTGAATTTAGTTCGTTCCAGCCGTGTGCAGTGCCGTCAAAATCATAGTTGCTGGCGGTGCACAGCACTGGGGTCCGCTAGGTCCCTTGGGCACTTGATGGATAGATGTCAATTTTTTTTTAAATTTGATTCATAATAATTTTATTATTATCTTGTATTTAACTTCATGTCTTCATATAACAAAATGCAAAAGCCTGGTTCGTTATATTCTGTGWTGGTTTTACTTGGAATCGCTTATCAAAATATTGAAAAAATTTACTAAGCCAAGCGTGACATAAATAGATTTGTTGATTATTATCCGCGATTACTAACAATGTACTTGAGAATCAGAGCGGTCCGTTCTACGTAACTACGTTGTTCACCCCTGTCGATATAATATACCGAATACCGATCGTCAGACGACAATACGACATTAATTATATTATTTTAACTATTGGCTACTAATTTTTTTGTAACTCTTAATATACAAAAATTAAGATGTTCTAACAGCTTGTATAATTTTTTTGACAATTCCTGTAACTGTGGCTTCAGCTAAAGATCTTTCTCCAAACT